AGCCCTGCTGCCCAGCCACAGCAGCTCACTGCGGGGGCCTGGGCAGAGCCCAGGAGCCACCCCATGGCAGGGCTGCCCCACGGAGACCAGCCCAGACAGCCCCAGGGAACTGCAGGGGCTGCTGTTACCTGGAGCAGACCCCAAGCAGCTGCTTTGCCCCAAAGCAAGGCCCAGGGTACCGCAAACAGAGCGCGGGGGTGGGGGTGGGACAAGGCAGCCGGCCGAGGGGGCCACAGAGAGGGCAGAGACAGGCTCCTTGTTAACTACAGCTTTATTAGGCACAGTGGGGCCGGGCTCTGTACAGCAGGTCCCAGGGGAATAGAGGCAGGGTGAGCTCTGTACAGCAGGTTCCAGGGGTTATAAGCAGGGGCAGGGATGGGGCCCCTGTACAGCAGGTCCCAGGGGGGTTATGTGCAGGGGCAAGCTCTGCAGTGGGTCCCAGCAGGGTTCTCTCAGGGGAAGGGGGGATGGTGGTGAGGGGCCCTGTACAGCAGGCCCAGGGGGTTAGGTGCAGGGCCAAGGTCTGTACAAAGGCGCCCAGGGGGCTTAGGCACAGGGGCAGGTGAAGGACCCTGGTACCATGGGTCCCAGGGGAGTTAGGCGCAGGGCCAAGCTCTGTACAGCGGCGCCCAGTTGGTTCAAAGCTACTTGATTTAAACAGGGATTTAAAAAATAGTTTAAAAATGAGCTACACTTGTCCAGGAGTGACGAGCTACGCTACAGCGGGGCAGGGGCTGTCTGGGCACTGGGCTCCCCCAGCCCCTCTCCCAGGGCTCAGGCCAGGCCGGGCTGGAGCCCAGCCGGCAGCCAGTGGGCTGCCTGGCACCAGACTGCGGGTGAGCTGCTGTCCTGGGGCGGAGGAGATGGGACCAGCCAGGTGCCGCTCAGCTGGGGCCCAGGTGGCAGTGGTGCCACAAGACGAGCAGGAAGCAGCTGGCCAGAGCCTCACCCCCCTCCCCAACAGGCCCACTTGGGCAGGGGGGCATCTCCAAGGAATAAATTAACCTGGAATGTGACGAAGTGCCAAGAAACAAGACGGGGAGGGCAGGAGGCCTGGGGGAGGCTCAGCCCCAGGCAGGGAGCTCAGGGCAGTGGGGGCTCAGTCCCCCCGCATTGCGGAGGGCCCTGAGCAGAGGGGCTGGGGAGTCAGCCACCCGCATTGCGGGGGGGAGGGGCGCCCTGTGCCCCAGGAGGCAGCAGTACACAATTACAGGAAGTGGGCTCCTCCCCTACAGAGGGAGGGCTCTGCCCACTGAGCCACTGTGGGGGGAGGCAGAAGGGGAGGGCAGGGATCACCCTCCCCCACCCCCACCCCCACTCATGGTGCTTTAGCGACACCTACTGGACACTTTACATATAATATTTTGTAAAAATAAAGCGCTTGTTTAAATGACTTTTTTCTATACAAAAGACTTTTTTAAAAAAAGACAAATGCCCCCAGCTGGGGAGTTGGGGGTTAGGACACAGCCAGAGCCCCCCTCATGGCAGTTGGGGGGAGCCCACAGCCCCCACCCACAGAAAGAGGGATCTTCTCCTTTTTACACTGGACATTTTTCTTATAAAAAACACAGTTGGTGGGTCCCAGGAGGCAGGGCCTGGGGGCAGGGAATGGCTCCCCCACAAGGGGGGGGCAGGGGGGAGGGGCCCTGGCTCCCTCCCCCCCCCCCTCACGCAAACACCTGCATCTTGGTGGGTGGGTCGGGCAGGTGGGAGAGCTGGGTCTGGGGGGCCCCCAGCACAGCCGGGCTGGGGGTGGACTCGGACCAGTCGGACAGCGAGTGGGGCGAGGGGCTGGCCCACTGCTCTGGGGACTCGGGCGAGGGCGTCAGGTAGGGGTGCTCGCTGCGCAGGTGCAGGTAGTGCTTGGGAGTGCCGTCCTGGCCGGGGGTGTAACTGTGCTGCGAGGGAGGCGTGGGGTAATCTTCCGCCCCTTGCCCACCGGGCGCCTTGTAATACTGCGGAGGTGGCGGGGGACCTGGGCCCACACCCCCCTGCCCCTCCTTGGG